AGCGGACATTCTGACAGGGAAAGCACGGGTAAAATTAATTTCATCAACACCAGCGTACTTCCATAGACTGTCACAGAAGCCATGATAGTGAACCTGCCTGCTACTACCAGGGCCCTGAAATAAGCGTATCTAAATCAGCTGCAGTTGTTTCCATACACCTTTCCCTCTGTGACAAGCCAAAATGACTGCTGTGAAGGAAATATTACGGTTGGTACTTTTTCTTTCATTTGGACCAAAGCTCTTGTCAAAAATGTCCCGCAGACTGGATTCACATTTTTTTTTTTTAAAAAGCCTTCCAGCAGCTTAGGGAGTCTCAGCCTGCTCTACCTTCTTCAAAATCTGCAGAATATGTTTTTAGCCACTTTCGTCAATGCGGTCATCTACAGAACACCATTTCTCTCACACATAACTGCAGCTGCTGGCTGTACATTCTTTCTTTTCGAATTACTCCCGACTCCAAACAAGAGCATGAAACTGGAGCTCTATTGGTCTTCTCTCTTGCAGGTCTCTGGCTGGGCGGAGCTTGCCATCAGCTAACCGGCTACACCTGGCCAGTGTCAGTGGGTGATATAAGCCGGCCTGCTGAGCCAGATCTCTCTCAGCAGCTCATGTGATTTGTGTTCGCTTGCTTTGTTTGACACTGACAACATGCACCTCGTTGTTTTTGCTTTTTCTTAATGAATTGCTTTTAGTTTCAGTAAAACCTCCCTGTGCATTTCCCTCCTTTGTTGCAGCCGAAGAGCCACTTGTAACGCTGTTAATTCTGTAACAGCTATGATGTTTTTATAAAGGGGATTGGTGGAAATTAGCTAAAGTTTGGGCCTCTAGGCAAATTACATATTCTGCTAACTTTTAAGAGAAAATGAGAAGCAAACATATTTAAAATAATGGTCTTTCTTCCACTGCTAATTCACTTTTACTTTTTATTTTATGAACACATGAAAAAAAAAAAAGTACAGCCGTAACTGTGACGTGCAAAAGTCTGGACACCCTATAAAGCCAATACCTCGTAACCTCTCTTTGACAGATATATAAATAATTTGCAGCCATTCTTTCTACGGATCAGTTCTGAGATATCCCAAGACCAGTCTTGCAGCATGTTTAAGCGCTTCAGTGAGAATCAGGTCAGAGGCATGTAAGAGTGACTCATAAAGCTGTTTGTTCATGATGGATTTTGAGATCTACTTTAGATTATAGCCACACTGTAGAAGCTAGCCTCTTCACTTTCACCATCTTGACCACAAGATGAATGTATTGTCACCCACTGTTTTGGACATTCCCTTTGTGAAGCCTTGAGATTGGATGTTGGCCATCTTGCTCTTTTAAATCTGGACGGAATGAGCAAGCTCTGACTGGAGAACCCAAAGACAAAAATGGGAGCATAACTTACAAAGTGAACATCATGCTGTATTACCAAAGTCTTAAAACAGCCATGGACACCATTAAAAAAAAATGTTTTCTTGATCAATCAAGTGAGAAGTAGGCTCCTTTTCTCACAGACTTCTTTATCAGCATTAGTTGGCTTTATTTTCAAATCCTCAGTCAGGTCTTAGAGGTCCCCATGATTGAGAGTGTTTTGAGATCTGTCATCAGATGAGAATTCCTAGAGGCTTCCTGACAAGTCCACGAGTCATTTGGGCCAAATAAGGCCAATAAAGTTTGGATAATTTACAAGTAAAAGTAGCTTAAATGTCTGCCTCGTGTCTGTGCATGTGAAGTTTACATCCCAGGCGTAGTAGACAACTTGACTTACTGTTTTGAGGATGCCATCTAACAGCGTTCAAGAAGGCGTTACAGTAGTGGAACAGAAACTCATGATTCGACCTTTCAACTTTCCTCTGCAGCAAATCCATGAGGTCATGGCCATCTATCTCCCTGCAGACCAGAGGACAGATAATCAACTGTAAATCATCATCTCTGACACAAACACATTCAAACACTCATTACTGTGAAGCACAATGACTGATGAAACCCTTTAATCAAAGCCCTTGGATTACCTCAATGCACCCCTTCCTCATTAGCAAACATGCTTCCTCCGCTCAGATTCTGGATCTCCCTCACTGCGAGCACAGTGAATCACTCCGACTCTCCCTGCCTCTTCCTTCTTTAAATGCGACCTAGATTTCAGGCTGCACTTGCTTTGACTGACATGTGGAAGCAGATCTGTCTCAGCGCTGCGCAGCCTCACCTGTCCTCTGGGACCGAAGCTCCGCTCAGCTGCACCACTGTAGGAAACAAGTCCATGTTGCTGGTGGGCTCGTCTATCCGTCTGCCGCTGGGGATCTTCCCTGGCCAACGCAGAATTCCCGGGACCCGGATCCCTCCCTCCCAATTTGTGGACTTCCCTGCTGCTCAGATGGAGGAGGAAAGAAAGAACACAAAGTCATGAAAGTAGTTCTCATCCAGCTACCATAACTCAGCATGTCTGGCCTCGAAACAGTGCTGGGTTGGTAACTAAAGGAACAACTTGCTTCATAAGACTTGCCACTTGCAGAGATAAAAGGGCATAGCAGACAGTGGCTGCCTTACAAAACTCTCACTGCTCTTTGAATCAGGTCTACCGAGCCCAAACAGAAAGATTACATCAAATCTGAGTCCACACTGTGAACTTTGTTTGGCAGAGAGTTTTAAATCATTGACAAGAGTCTGCTGCGGACTCTCTTAGGAAAAACCAATTCACTCCTCGTCTGGCATGTGAATAAAATAAATACCCTTCTTTTAATTACAATTTTGTATTCATGAACTAAAGTTTTCAACACATAGGATTTTATTTTAGTGCTGCATATTTCTTTTAATACTTTCCTGGGAAGTTTCCTGGAGGGAACAATGCAATTTAGAGCAAAGAAAATGGAGACAAAGCTCTGAGGCAGCGAGTCTCGCGATTTCTGCTTTATAAGGACATATTCCAGCTTCATGTCCTTGAAAGGAACACTGCATTTAAACCTGAAGTAAACTCTAATTTATTCTTAAAACCAGCATTGGAAACGTTGTTCTGTATAAAGATACTGAATTATAGGTTTGCCTTATTTGTTTAAGCTAAAAAACGATCTAGGTTGTAATTTGAATTTATTAGGAGTAGGGATGTAAATGGTTAGCAATTCATTGATTAACTGCCATCAATAATTTAACAGATTTAAAAAAAGGGTTTTAAGCTTGTAAAGATTTCACATACATAGTCATTCAGTTTGTCCTCTTGTTATACCTTTATATATACCATTCCATCCTCCGTGGACCTCCCCGCTGGAAGATACTTCCTCCAGATGAGCTCCTTGGTCTGAAGTCAGGTAAACAAGAGTGTTTTGTCTCAGGTTGAGTCTGTCCAGGGTCTCCATGATCTGACCTAAGAACAGACACAAGATACACACCAGTCTGTACATATTCCAATAATGACATCAAACCATAGTATTATATTAAAACAAAAAAAAAAACTCGGCAGCACATATTTACCAGCCTAATTAACTACAAAACTCTTTTCACTGATGTTCATTTCAAGCATTTTTTTTTTTTTAGGGAAAAATGATGTAAATATGCCCTCAGTAGTGTCTTCACTTGTCCTAGAGCTGCCTGTATATTGCCTGAGAGGTGAAACTCAGGGCAAAACTGGACATCTGGTCAGTAAGACGACACTATTCACAGACAAGTAAATCAAACTGAATCAGTAAAGACGGGAGGGAACAATAGTATTATTCTGACATGTCTTCTCCATCCACTGTGAAAACTAGTCAGAGGGAACACAGTGTATGAAAAAATGGAACCATCATGATTCAACACAGTAATAATATCAGTTTCATAAGTTAGAATTCATGCTTACATTCAACAGGAGACTATAATACAGAGCAGCTTAAAGTAGCTGTGAGTTGCACACAGCCTGCGGCCAATGAAAATTGGGTGTTAACACAACGATGTAGCTTTTCATAAAGGTTTTTTCTCACTTAGAAATCAAAATGTTGCATTCAAAGAGTGCACATTGAGGCACTATACAGAAACAAACAGCACTGTGAAGGCTAAAAAACTGGTCAAACACACAGATTTAAATGTACTGAACTGTAGATATAATGACAGAGGCTTAACAGGTTTCTCCACTTATTTGTAAATTTAAAAAAATACATTTAACAACCATGTTTGTAAGTCACACTAAATTAACACATTGACTATAAAATCGTTAAGGTGTGAGCAAGGTCTTCCTTTTGCCATAGAAAGTGGAGCTCCTGAAGACAAAGAGGGCAAAAAGGTAAACTAGCGACAAGATGTCATGCAAATCAACAATCAGTGTTTAAATTAATGTTTCTGTGATTGGTATGTGATAGATCACCAAGGTAGTCAAACAGCTGATAGGATGTCGTCATCTGGATAGAAGTAAGCATCCACTGATTTAAAAAAAAAGACAAAGAATAAATAAACCTTTCTCGTCAATTCTTTCGGCTGTTAACAATAGCAGCCAGGGAGAACATATAGTAGAAGGCAACTGAACTTCTCCTTTTTTGTTCTTGAAAACATCTCACCTCTCATCCAAGATGCTTCAAGTTCTAACTGAGAGTGTCAGAGGTTCATTCTCACCCCGAGATCACATGGCTCACAGCCCATTAGCAACCCAACACTGCACATGTCTCGGGGTGTTAATGGTTGTGAAACTGCCTGGTGAGGGGATGAGTCAAGGTGTCAGCGGTGTGAACTTTCTGGGGAGTGATCTAAGGGTACTTTTACTGCATAAATAAATATTGGTGTTGAACTCATGTAATTCACTGTGCTCTGAACATATTACTGCCACCTTCTCCAGGTTTGATGTTTCCCCTACAGGTTCAGGTAATCCCCATCAATATATACTGATTAAATGATCAATCATGTTATTTGGTGAAAGGAACAGACATTTGATTGCAAGTACCATAAGTGTTGCCAGCTTTTAAAAATATGCTACGGATATTGGTAGAAATGAAATAATGTGAACAAAAAACAAAAACCTTTGGCATGTGTGGCAAATGTGTTGGCAGACGGTGAGCTGTTTCCACATCAGCCAACACAGAGAAACATGATCATTCATTTAGAGTGGCGTTCGTGTCCCTTAGTGACTGTAAGTTCAACATTCAGTCCCTTTTCTTTTTCATCTCCAACAGGCTTGAAGAAAAATATATCTGGTTCTTTGGCTCTGCTCACTGTTTGCTCAGAAACTATCTTGACCAAAAAAGATCAATGCTGCTGGAACCCACAACTAAAAGCAATGAGTTAAAGGAGGCTATAAAGTAAGGGTCAACCTTATCAATGTATGATTTACAGCAAGTGTTTAGTTGTGCTCACATCCAACTGACAGACTGGTTGTAGTCCCTCTACGATCCACATGCAATTAATGTCAGCTGTGCTCAGAAGTGAAGGAGGTTTATAGAGGTTAGTATGTTCTTAGCCCAAACAGGGAGCCAAGAAGAAAAGAAACAATACTTTTTTTTCCACTCAGAAAGCACGACACAAAGCAATTGTTGTTTTCCTATTGTACCAACACAATACTCTTCAAGCTAAAGGAATTAGGGTAATTATATGTTCATTGAGAAAAACCTCCTCCATTCATTCTATTGTCGCTTCTAGTTGTGTCGAGGATAACCTTGAGACTGAACAGAGTGGAGAAAAATCATTCTCTTCGCAAGTCTTTCATGTTGCCGTAGGGTGATGTTATGCCATTTCAAAAATTTGACGCATTTGTGACGACTAGCCTTCTTTTTTTGTTTTAAATCACATCCCACAGGTTTTTCACTGGGTTCAGGTCTAAAGATTGGGCTAGCCATGACTGGGTCTTGTTCTGGAGGTCCTTTATCCAACCTTGATTGAAGCATGGTGGTGGAAGCATCATGATTTAGGGTGGGGATGGTTCGCATGTACTCAGCACCGACTTGAAGGGCGTAGATATCTATTAGTTTTTAATTACTTGGCCCTAGTTTGTCGAAATATGTTTTCACTTTGACATGAAAAAAAAAAAAGGAAAAGTTCCAAAGGGGGTTAGTACTTCTTGCAGGCACATTTTGCAAAATCTGTAGTGGTCTCATTTTTTTTTTTTTCCCCAAAGCTGTATATCTGGTACAAATACAACAGTTCAGTCATTCTTGGTTGAGTGCAACAAGTGTTTAATGTTTTATGCCAGCAAATAGTGCAATTGATTGTCAGTAGAAACAGATGAAGTTCAGGTAGAGTTCATTTAGAACGACTACCTTTATGCCTACTCCATATATTTACACTCTCAGCCTCTCCATCTCTCTCCCTCAGACTCTCTCTTTTTTCCCACTTCAGTTATCTGGGGATGTTTACTCTTCCACTTAAACCAATCCGATTTCGCCACAACCTCTGCAAGCTTATAGGTCTTGTTGCTGTCAAAAGCGGAAACCATTTCTTTCTCTGCTCCTGTCAGCTGTCATTTCATTGTGAGATCAGTGCGACCCTCCTCCACACCACCCACCTTCAGTTTTCATCAGAACCAGAGTTCACAGATCCTTCCACTGACCTCATCAGAAGTCCTGACGCACATCTCATCCATCAGCTCTTCAACAATTGCTTTTCACCCCTCCGCCACCACCGCCTACTCCATCATCATCATGGAACCATGATGACGTCATGATGGGGTTTTAATCGCCAAAGATTACTCACTTCCCCGTTCCTTTCTGTGCACACTTTGTCAGATAACATGATTTATTTACTCTTCTCTCTACTCGTGGCACCTGATTCAAACGGGCTTGGAGCCAAGAGCTACTGACAGAAATGGATGTCAGAAAGTATTGATGGTCTAACAAATTGTGGGCGTTGGTCCATTCATGAGATTTGCTGGCAATCACAAAAACAAAGCGTAAAACTAGACTCACCCTTAGCTTTGCTGACCTACCTACACTCCAGTCCACCTCATGGACAGCGTCCCCGTAGATGCCATGAGGGCTCGTTCCTCTGAAAGCTGCTGAAGCAAACATCGCTGTGTGTACTTGGATGAAAGAGAAAAACAGCAGGAAAGGCCTGTCTGAATTCCTGTGAACACAGACAACACAGCATTTAAATAAAAGTAGTGTAATAAACTCACTTTAAATTGCAGTAATTTTTTCTTTAAAGTGACATTTCAGATCAAAGACAGGAATTCACACAAGTGCTCTTTTCTTGTTTTTAATGTGCTTTCTTTATAATGTAGACTCCATAAAATGCTTTTTGTCACACAGCATTGTTAAACATGTAGAGACAAGGACAATGTTGATCATTAAAGCAGTCTTTCTGCAAGACTGACAGAGTTTTTCTAGGCCATATGAATTAGAAAAACTGGCATGTACCTCTCTATGAAGTCCACTGCCTCATGAGTCATCCTCTGTGTCAGGTTCTCAGCCGTGAACGGCTGCTCCACAATACTGTGGTCCCTAAGGAGAACACAGTTGAAGTATGGGACAATCAGGACAATTCCTGCTGCCAGACCTGCGACCACGGCCAGCACAGACAGCAGGCTCAGAATCAGCCGTCTGGTGATGGTGATGAATCCACTGTAGTGGAGTAAAACTGCAGTGACCAAGATGATGCCCAGTGTCCTAAATGGCAAATATTTATGGAACTGGAAAACTGTGCCGTGTCCAGGCTGGCAGTCCCGCAGGTTGGTCAAAGGGATACCGTAGAAATGATTAAAGCCGTGGGAGCTGGGGTGGTGGCAGTGATCATCGCTGCTCTTGCAGTTAAGTCCTAAGTGCCACTTTCCTTGGGTAAAGGAGACATTTACAAAAGAAAGAAAATGCAAAGAAAAAATCAGAAAGAGCGAGCAAAAAGAAAAAGAAAAGTGAAAGCCCTCCATCCCTGTGCAATATCATTTAAATGTTAAATGATTCAAAACTGTATCAACTCCAAATATTTGCATTATTTGTTAAAAATGTGAAAGATTTTACAAAGAAGTGAAAAAGACTTGTGACAACAATCTTAGTTGGTTAGCTCTAGTAACATTTCTGTGTGCTTTCACCACGGCACAAGTCACGTTAACAAAAAGACATGCACAAGATCACAACATGGGAAGACTTTTTCAACATTTCAGCACCAGTATTGATCCAAAAACACTACAGACATTAAAGTAGCAGACCTACAGTTTGTCTGAAAGACAAAATGCCAACTGCAATGAACTAATGAAGCCAACAATGTCACATATCCCAGGTCTGAAAAGAGCAGTCATGCAAAAATCTAGTGGAGCAATAAATATGTATGAAAGGAACACCTTCAACAGTAAGAGCCAAAAGTCCGCAACTAGTGAAACAAGGGATAATTGCAGCATACCTATAAGAGCAGTCTCATAACCTTGCTGTTTAACGATCTTAGCAAAGGTGACCTCTTGGCTGGGAAGACCTCCAGATGCAGCATTAAAGATAAAGACGCCAGGGTCGTGGTGACCAGCTATGCCTGTTGAAGAGGAAAATGGAGGCAAAAACACAGTTTTTGGTTACTTTTTTAAAGATGTATTTTTGCACAGAGCTTAAGCAGTTTGCAAAGAAGAATGTAATGCCATATGTGCATCTACTAAATACTTATGCAATCACTTATTTGTGGTTTATATTTTGAATTAATTAAAACTACTTTGTCGAAATCTGTTTTCACTTTGACATGAAAGAATAATTCTGTTATGATCCAATGCTCTTTGTGAAAAGTATGAGAACGCTGTAAATGTTCATTACCGCTATTTCACCTTGTGAGTGTGAGATAAGGACAAGACGTCCTTAGCGGGTTGTCAAAACACCATGCCTACACACACACATTCGCTTCTGTTTTCTATTCACTGTCTGTATATAAGAACCGATGCTTCGTGCTTTTAGTCAGTCACTTGTTCAGACTCTGTGCTGTACATGTTGCTCCTTGCTGCAAGCAAAACTCTGCTTTGACTTAAGAGACGGCTGTGTATTGATTTGGAGCCGTTAGGACTCCACTGAAGAATTTTCCTAACAGAAAGAATCTTTGTAAATTCTTGTCAAAAAAAAAGCCAAACTGAATCGACCATGATTCAATGTTGAAATGCAATAAAAGGGGAAAGAGGGTGAATAGTTCATAGAGACTGTATGTAGAAATGTCCCTGAGTGGCATTTCATGTCATTTCATTTCATACCAATGGGATTAATAATCTGCTTTAACTCAAAATGACGTGTCTGCAGTTTAGATTATAAAGACTTTGCGTGTGAATAAAGTGTACTCTCATCAAAGTCAGCCCTTTAAATAATTCAGTCACTAAATGAATAGGCTTTCTGCAAGAGGTAAAGATCTGCTAGATGTGACAGTGTTAAACAGTTTTATTGTCTGGGGACGTCGCCCCGAGGTCCAACATTAAGCACTGTGTCAGTCAGCGAAGGTTTTCTGTGTGTTTGAACTGGCCTGATCTTATCGGGTATCGTCCGGTGAGAAATGCAGCCCTGCTGGGCGTGCAGAGGCTCGATGCAGCGATGTGGTGGGTCAGCTGCACCCCTTCTCGTGCCAACTGGTCAATATTGGGGGTCCTGTGAATCAGATCATCAACTCTGTAAATCCCTTGTGCGACTCATTGGCATTTCTTTTCTGAGCCTCAGAGAAGAGCTTAACAGCGATGAGCTTAATTGCAACTGCGAAAACGGGAGGAAATAATGGGCAGCGCTGCCTTCTGATGCGGGGAAATGGCAAATAATCTGATTGATCCTCGCTGGTTTGCACTTGTGTCGTAGGGGACGAATAATCTTTGAAAATATTATCTGGCTGCATAACAACTGCATAAACTGTTAGCATTGATTCATTTTTGTGGCATTTTGGAGCGACGCAGCAAACTGGAAGCACAACACTAACTTAATGGTCACTTTATGAAGATGATGCAAACACATCCAGCAGACTCACACAAACATGATCTGTAACTGAGGCAAATGATGGCAACAGTCAGCGAAAGCCAGCAATAAACCACTGTGTCTGTAGCTTCCCTCTGTTCCTGCCCGACTCCTTCTGACATATTTTCATTGGTTGCTCCCCTCTACTTGCACAATCTAGGTCTGGAAAACAAGCTCAGGGAAGTGCTTCACCGTTATTAGTGGAAATTGGGTTCTGTGATAGCTCACAATAAGAAGGACAATGCATAAAATCAATCTCTATAGAAGTCACTGAAGAAAAACATCCTTGCTTGCTTTTTGGAACTAAACTTAAAGATAAAACTTTGCTAAAAATCAATGCCTGATGAATACTGGGAGGACAATCTGTCGTCAGATGAGACCAAGATCAATTTGTCCAGCATATTTGGTGTGAACCTGAGCAGGATTACCGCATGTGAGTGCATTGTTCTGACAGTGAAGGTGGAGGTGGGAGTGTGGCAATATGAGTGGGAAAAAAATTTACTGCTTATCTACGATCCCAAACTTATCTTCAAGCTGCCCCAACTGAAACGGTAATAATTTGGTCATCATAAAACCAATACATTCAGCAATACAGCTGCAGCAATTTGTTAATTTACCGAATCAGAAACTCGTAACCATTTTGCGAACAGACGAACTCAATATGTTCGTCATATATTAAGGAAAAAGGTCAACTATGCTCAGCTTCCAGTTTCTGCAGCGTGTCGGTTTGCTTGTTGCGTTTTTCCTGTTCCTCATATATGAGAATAAATTGAATATCTGACTTTTGGTGAGTCAAAAGAAGCCAACTGAGGACATTTCAGAGGGTTAATGACATTTTTCATTTACTAAAGAGTCAGTTAATTACATAAAGAAATGCCAGATTAGTTGATTACAACAATCATTTCCCCTCGAGGATCAATAAAGTATTTCTGATTCTGATTAATTGTAAGTCACAGGGTTAGAAAACAGCTCACAGTGAGGTAAAAACTAGACGACCTGTTGGGAAGTGGAATGCTGCGTTCCTAAATGATAGCTCGAAGGCTGGCTAGAGAAGTGAGATTTAGGTGGTTAACAAGGGAATTCTGAGAAAATAACTCAGCTATAAGTTGGAGCAGCTGTAATATCAAGTATTTTGATATTTTTAGCTGCAACCTCAAAGCCCTCTGCAACTCTGAAAAGCAAACTACCTGCATGGATTTCTGTACACATTCCAGCCACTCTGTGAGAAACACAGAGTCCAGAAGGAACTTTATAATGTGTATGAAGTATTTCTAGTTCAATGTGGGAGTAGTAACGCTGCTGCTGATGTTAAATATATGTCCTTATTTGCTTTGGGAGGGATGTAAACACTACCTTGATTACATTATCACTGAACCAGAATGATGCCTCTTCCCTTCATAACCCTTATCAAAGCGTCTGGAATATTATTTACCTAAATTGCTTCTGTCGGAATGGTGTTTTTTTTTCAACACACTTAGCTTCTGATACTTTGCACTGTGTCCTACGTATTTGAAGTTATAATAGTGCACAGTCATCAGCTATTTTATCATGAGACAGACAAAGCCTCTGACCGTCTGGCCAGTGTTGAAATGAGTGTTTAGGAGCCGAATTTATTGATATGGTGAAAACTTTGTATGCTAATCCCTCTGTCAGTTACTCTTAGCATTTTAAATCATTTACTGTTTCACCCTAATCTCCTCTTAGTGTCCTTCCTATCTTTCTCCAGGCCTTGGACTGCTTTTTGTCGGTGAAAAGTCAGGCATCCTTTGTCGGCCAAGTCAGTGATGACTCACTTTTCCTGGGTTTCTTGTTGTGATTCTTCTTCCTCTCTCTCTTTTTTGACTTTTTATTGCAGCTCTTTTTCTAACCCTCTTCTTTGTGGGACCCTACAAGGGCTCCTGAATAAAACATCCACAATCAAAGATAATTAGGAAGCCAGATTTAAAAATGGAAAGTCTACAAAGACAGAAAGTCAAGAAAAGGAAAGAAGACAAACCGAGAGGAAATTCAATGCTTTGGAAGTAGCAAAATCACAGGTTTGTACCATTTATGTGACTGTTCCGTGTGAATCATCGTCCTAACCCACAGAGCAAAAACTGCACTCAAAGCCTTCCAGCCTCGCAGAGTGAAAACAGAAACATGTTTCTACCTCAGCGTTTTATTGCCGTAACAGCCCAGGTCTCCAATTCCCAGGTCATCCACCATCATCAGGACGAAATTGGGCTTGTTGCTTTCCTGAGGAGACGCACAGCTCACCTCCAAAAGCAGCAGCAGCAGCAAAGACGACGGCAGCCACGTGGACTTCATGTTGTCCGAAGAAACACTGGGGAAGAAACCACAGCAAATATTAGTGCACTTGTCATTTATACAGATTTTATATTCCATCAGTTCACAGCTGAGCCAACAGTGGTTGAAGAAGTCTTTGCTTGTTTCAGCCTTTTATTTTATAACAATACAAACAGCTGAGTGACTGTTTGACAGAATGTAAAACACAAAAATGTCAACCACAGTCCTGACAGACCACAAACATTAAAGAGGAGAAAAGGCAAATAACAAGTTTCATACTGTTGTTTCTTCATTAGTAACTAATTGCCAAAACTCTGGGACATACATCCCAAGTTAAATCCCTTGAATCAGTAAGAACCCTTTTACTGATCTCATTAGGTGTGTCAGGTATCTCCCAGACATGACTGATCCACATTAAATGTTTGAATATCTTCTGCTGGACTCGGTTCATTTGCAGCAGTGAGCTCATTTCAAAGCTGCTATTTGTCTCTAGGTGCATGTGCTTCACTATAAATGCATTTAAGTATACGTGCACACAATGATAATCGTGTCTAACAAAGCAAAAGCTACAAAAGAGCAGGACTCCTACTGCAGTTTATTGTAGCCATTAGATAAGTTGAATACCAAAGTGTGTCTGTCCTCGGGTCAGGACGTGGTAAAAATTAACCGAGGCTTATGCGTTTTAACAATGCAGCCCCCATAAAAGTCAAGAAGCAGTGTGTGCAAAAGCCGTTATAGTTCAGAAGCGACGTGTCTGACAGCTTCAGCTGACGTACATCAGACCGATTCCAATAAATTCGACACTGTGAGGAGGCATTATGTAAGTTTTTAATTTTGGTAAAAAGGCAGCAGTGGTTTCGGATCAATACCTCAATTCAGCAGACACAACACTAACCCGCTATCCAGAGCTGGAAAATAACTACAAGTGCACTTTGCTTGGTTTTAAGAAGGCGATGCTATACTTTCCACAGTATTCTTTCATTTTCACACAGTGAACATTAAGCAATTTATGTTAATACTTTTCGCTTTTTGCTTCTTTAGAAACTCTTGTGCAATTTTGTGCTTTTTGTGGTTCTTTTACTGGAATATTTTTCTTCTGTCAAGCTTCTGCAGACTGGAAGTCATCTTACCAGCCAGTATTTTGGTATACAAAGACATTCATGCATCTATAAATGTCTTCTCCCCAACACCTTTTGCTGTCATGCAGCCTCTTATCATCACCTCCGTGCTTCACTGTCAGGACGATGCATTCACTGTGGTCGTCTTGGCTCACACCAAACATGCCGGACCCCATCTGAGACAAGATCTCATTCAAACAAAGAATGTGCTCACAGCATTTAAAGGGCTTTTTCGGGTTACTTGGGTGTTTCTTGGATGTCACAGTTAGAGGTTCACATTATGCACTGTCCTTCAAACTTTTATTTATAAGCCCTGTACCAAGTCATTCACACAAGTCTTTCGAAGCTAGATTGTGAAAGCAGTGCACTGTCTATAGTGTTGTGTTTGATAGACACAGCCCACAGTCCCAAAACTGAAAATGCTCTGCAGTTCACGGGTCAATTTATAACCCCGATCATGCAGTTAGGTCAATTTTGTTGCAATGACCACAGGTTTTCAGACTTGTACACATTTTTATTGCACTTGTTTTCTACTTTGGGGCCTGTATTTTCTGTCTGATAATATTTGCTTTCTATGATTTATAAGGGGAAATTCTCTACTTGTCAACTTTAAATAACACAATTACTCTAAGAGGATGTAAATTTGAATTATCTGATATTTAAGTGATATTGATCAGGGGTGTACTCACTTCTGTTCTACACTGTATGCAACATAAGCAGCTAAAACTAACATTGCAATGCTGCTTGCAAGTTACATTTCACTTGAATAATGCATTTTGTGGCCCTAGTCGTAAAGTTATTTATTTTTATTACATTGCAACACATCCTCTGAGAGCAGACTCACACAGCTGCCTACACAGAGAACTCAAAGCAGGAACTCCAGCTGGACATTCCTCAAGTTGCACTAATGTTCAGAGACATTTATCACGGTGTCACTCACCCAGCTGACCTCCTGAATGATTCTTGTTTATGGCGCTGAATGACAGCAGTGAAAGAAGCAGCTGTCGTGTGCTTCTTGGGAAAGGACGCTTGCTGGTTGCAGCCTACTTTCACTTCTTCTGACACTCGACAGAGCTGCAGCCATTCAAACTCTCCGGAACAGGTACTGCTGTAAAGTTGCAAATCTCGCGATAGTTGTCGTCAAGGTAGGACTCATAGATCGTGGCAGGTCCTGTCGTGAGTTTCAAAATAGAACCTCACAGAAGCGTACAATTATTTTGAAATTGAAAATGTTTTCTTTTATTAGCATGTTTCTTTAAAGTATATATATATATGTATTTGAACATATACATTTTAATTTTAATGGCTGACCATTAAGTCTCTACAGGACACAATGGCAAGCTGTAATATTGGAGAAATTCAGCAACATATTTTACCAGATTCTGAAGAATAATATTCAATCAATTCATTAATCAATCACAATTTATTGCTATAGCATTTTTCATACAAATGAAATGCAACACAAAGTGATTTACAGATAACAGAAATAAAAATGCCATAAAACGTACAAATCATCTTACATCCCTGCCTTTCTCTCTGTTCAAACCTTCCCATTCGCTGCAGCTCAAGCACACCAGCTCACCCACGACTCTGCTTTAACACTGCAAAACTGCACTATCCATCCATCTATTATCTATACACCGCTTAATCCTTACTGGTGTTGTGGGGGGCTGGAGTCTATCCCAGCTGACTTGGGGTGATGGCAGGGGACACCCTGGACAGGTCACCAGTCTATCACAGGGCCACACTTAGAGACAGACAACCAAGCACACTCACATTCACACCTACGGACAATTTAGAATCATCAATTAACCTCAACATGTTTTTGGACTGTGGGAGGAAGCTGGAGAACCCGGAGAGAACCCACGCTGCACGGGGAGAACATGGAGACTCTACACAGAAAGATCCCGGGTGTCCTAACCAGGACGTGAACCAGCGACCTCCTTGCTGCGAGGCTACAGTCTGTTTTTGTAGTAATTCGGCCGCGCACATTTGAACCAGAAGCCGATTCTTAAGATGAGTAATAATTCAGAAAGCCCCACTCTGCAAGTTGACATCCTTCGGTTTGGAATGAATGAATGAAATCCTTAAATCTGTGTTGTAAGTCTGTCATCTGCACACTGTAGTTTCAGAGTCTCTTCTACCACATAAAAAGTACCACATGGATATGTTGACAGAAACTTGATTTTCACCAGAGTTTGCTCCAAAGTGTATTGTCATCTTTTTCTCTTTTGTTTGTTTTGTTTTTCTGAGCACTTCGTGTAACATCAAGAACTTGTAAGTTACTATGGCTTTTCAAACTAACTTACTAATTCATGGTCACAGCTCCAGCTTGTTTCCCATCCACACAAATGACAGATGTCCTTGGTATTTAAATCCGTCTATAAATCATTTTTTCCCTGCCTCTGATGTGCTCTGGTGAATTCAGGAAGCAGTGAAAGTGTGGAGAAACACTGTCATCTGTTGTCAGGGTCCAACATTGCAGAGTCTGCACCTGAGGAGGGATTTTCAAAGCTGAGCTGGATTCCAGGATCCTTTAGGGCGCTTCAAGGAGGGTCAACCAGATGTGAATTTACCAGAGATTATCTCAGCTACAGAATGTTTAAAGGTATGTTTAAAATGAAATAATATTCAAGAGAAAAGATTAATAGATATTCTCAATTCAGCAGCTGATCCGGGTCCTTGTGATTCCATCTCATCCAACAGAGATTCAAAAGATTTAAATATCTGTCTTTGAATGATTTATCAAGTGCAGCAACATGCAGTGTGATAATAACTTAACGGTGATTCTGGATTTTCGGTGCAGATGCTGACATTGATATTTGAGGTTCAAAGGATCCAATAATGATGAATTGATTTTTTTTTTTCTTTACAAACATGCATAATGCAAAGAAAGATTTTATGACTCTTTGAATTTGATTACAGACTTATGTGGTGAGCATTGTACAGAGTAAAAACATACTGGCTGGTGCTCTCTGGTAGACAAGACATATTATAGACGCACTGTTTCTAAATGACATATCTGGATACTTATCAGGTGACATATATACTGATACATCTACAATGAGCTAAGTGATGCATTGCCCAGCTGATTTTTATGCGACTCTTATCGTGCTTTGGTTGCAGATTCTGGCGCTGAAGTTTGGTGTCCAACTTAAAGATGCTTCAACATGTCAACAGAATGTGTCTCTGTCATACTCACAACCCAGGATTCCTCAGGGTAATAAACTAATCAACTAAATTAAAGACTAAAGGTTAAAAAGTCTCTGCAACTGGGTTTTTCTTCTTACTTGAAATGCCTTGAATTTTTTTACTTTAAAACAGATCAAATTAAACATTTAAAGCATTCAGAGGTAAAATTGTATGGATATGACTGACAACCCTGTAAAACTATTATCAAGTCCTTTTTGCTAAAGAAATACCCTGAAGGTGTTCCTTTAGATTCAGGTCCAGGGAGATACTTGGCCGGGTCGCTTTTTTCTTCTTCCTCAAAAACTAGCCACGTAGTCACCCCTTCTGTTTCCGGTGCATCATAGGAACTGACAGCTTCGATGCAACATTAACTCTGAGGGTGCCAGTCAATGACTAACAGTAGTTAGTAAATGGAACATGTCACTACCGCCCCTAGTTCGTGTCTTATTTAGTTCCTGTTTTATTTTGGCATTTCCTGTTGTGTGTGTCTGTCTCAGGTGTCTTTATACTTCCTTGTCTTGTCTGCTTTCCCACCTGTGTGATCACCTGCCTGATTGTGCTACACCTGTGTGTGATTGTCTTCCCTGCCCCAGTGTCTATATATATATACTCAGCCCTTTCCTCAAGTTCTTTGTCAGTTCATCATCTGTCATCTTGCCAGTGTTCCAGCCCTTTTCTGCTTTTGGGATTCTTCACTCCCTGTACTTCCCATGATACTATAAGCATTTGGAAAATAGAACAATGGAGTCAGCTCTTTTAGTCCATGAAACTTCAAGTCAACGAGGACATTGAGAGGGCAGAAAAATGGTGAGTGTTACCCTCTCTGAATTTTTGTCTTCTCTGAGTTGAATCAATTACTGTTGGGAACCACAAAGCAGCTGTTCTGAATTACTCGCTCAGTAGTAGGTACGTAATTTCCTTTCTCCCAAAAATGGCCGTAAAAGCGGTTCTATAGGGGTGCTTACTGCAGTTGGAACATGCTCAAAGATTCAAGCCACCCTTAAACACTCTGCAAGTTCTTGCAGTGGAAAGAAAACTATTGTTGCAGTGCTTTTGGTATTGTTGTATTGGTGGGAAATATCTTTCCTGCCATGCCTCTTGACATGGGAACTCATGTTATCATTCACTATTTGTGTATACAAACTTGAATCTATGAATGTCTTCTCCCTTACACCTTATGCCCCATAACAGCACATGTCCACCGTCATATACGCTGAGCAATCACTGCATTAGTCCTGGCCAGACATGTTGAACCTCATCTGATTCAGTCTAGTCGGACTAAAGAATGTGCTGCAGTCATTCACTTGGTTCATTGTGCTGTTTTGAGCAAGATTTTTCTTCCTAGACGCTGTCTGTAGCGTCTGACCTCATAAAATGCCCTGAACAATCAGTGTAGCACCGGTTTGCGCTGGCAATCATGGCAACAGAAAGTGCTTTGAATTTGTGGATGGCAGAGAGTCTTTGTTGGCCACGTTTGTGAATGACAATGGTGTGTTGATCAAAGCTCAGTTTATTTATCAAGGTGAGCATTTGAAGCACCACCATCTCAACAGTTTCATTTATGCAGGTGGAGTTGTGTGGGGAGAGTTGTGTGTGCTGGAATTATTAATTAACCGTTCTTTTGTCCTTGTTTCGTTCAGCTGCAGGTAACTGTTAACATACCAATGTCTGAAGTTAGAGACGGAGTCTTTAAAAACTAAGGGGTTGTCATTCAGGGGTATAAGTATGTAGAGATGAGTGAGGGGGTTGATACAGTGGTGTGTAGGTGGTAAACAGAAACGGGCTCTTGTGGGGATCTGATGTTGGTCAATTAGATCTGAAGAAGCCTTTCAAATTATCAACAGCTTCAGCAACTTCCAGCAAGTCCAGCTGGCTCTGTTTTAGCACTCAGATACAGGGATATACAGGCACAGTGAAACAAATAATCTGGATCTTTACAGTATTTTTAAGATGACACTTGAAGGACACATTACATTCAATTAATAGAAAGGGATATAATTTGGGACCTTTTTAATAGAAAACTCCATTTTCTATCATGTTTGTTGCACTGAGGTTCTACTTGGAGCTGATAACTTAATTTTTAAAAATGTGCACAAGATGAATAAATGGGACACAGTTCATGTTGATTTAAACAATGCTGAAGAAAAACCCAGCAGCAATACAAAAACATTTTAATTCAGTGTTGAAGTGACTAAACTACAGACCTTGGCCTGTGCTGTCTCTGAGACAGCTTCACCGAGACTGAAGTTCAACTTAATATTCTTTCAAGGAAACAAAAAATCTTTAATGCATGGATGAGGTGTGTATTCAGATAATCGTGTGTGTGTGTGTGCATCTGTTCCTTGAATAAGTGCAATGTGGCAAGGCTGACCACTTCATAGCTTGCAGCGCACAATAATATTCCATCCACAATTGACTGCACCACCATCCATCTGCCATAAACCCAACCATTAAGCACAACCATTGAACAGTTGATTCATATTCCAGCAGGTTTCTACAGCTCCTTCTGAGCAACGCTCTTAAAAACACTGCTCTCTTCTATCTAGCTGATGCATTCAAGCCCTTTTCATCTTCCAGGGCCTCTTCAAAGCTTGCTTCATTGTCAGCCTTCTTTCATACAAAGGCTGGAGAATACAGCACACAAGCGTCCTGGAGGCTGGGTTGTTGAACACCTAAGGACGTGAAAGGAGGCTCGGGCCTTCGACTCATGTCGATGAGAGTCGTATTCAGACATCTGTTTGAATTAAAATGGCACTGCAGGCGTCAGGGCATAGTGGGCTGAAATTGCAGCAAGAAATGACAGTTTACATCAGTTAGCCACAACATTAAAACCTAACCTGACTAATATTGTGTAGGTCTACCTTGTACCACCAAAACACCTGTAGGTGTAT